CAAAGATAGCTGGAAGTAGATTACGTGTCGAAATAGATTACACAACGAATTATGTCGAAGTAGATTACACAACGAATTATGCAAGATTAATTGTCCTTTGAACAGACATTATCAAATGAGCAGCTATTTGAACACAAGAAAACACAACCTACTACGATATGTAAAAATACAATAGATTGTGGAAAAACAACCATCATACAGAATGATTATTCCTAAAGCATGGGAAGTTAGAGGAAGCCCTTACATTTTTCTGATGTCATTCATTGGATGTTAGAAATTCAATAATGATGGCTTGATTCTTTGATTTATTTATTGTATTTGTTTGATTTGATTTGTCAAGCGCTTACAATATAATAGAAATAAGAATAAACATAAATACATGAAATAGGTATGAATAATTGGGGACAATAGGACAGGGATGGTAGACACGATTGTGCACTTATGCACACATTTAGCTGTTCTGAATCTAGTTCATGAGGAAATATAGTATAATCCCTGGTCTGATCTATTGTATTTATTTTTGATTGGGTTTCATGGTTGTTGGCAAGAGATGGATTTTGCTAAAGTCTGCAGCTTTTCTTCAGATATCACACTAAACCACAGGTGTCAAACTCAATTGCGTCACCTGATATAGTGCCATGTATCGCAACGTTTTTTGCCTTTGGCCTGTGCATGACACCTCTGACCTGCAGGCCACCAGTTTGACACGCTTGCACTAGACCAGGGCCCCCCAAACTTGGCAACTTTAAGACTTGTGGACTTCAACTCCCAGAATTCTGGGAGTTGAAGTCCACAAGTCTTAAAGTTGCCAAGTTTGGAGACCTCTGCTGTAGACCGTCACAAGCATTTATGCATCATGTTTGGCTGACTCCCAATGGCTGGTTCATGTGTTGCTCAGGGGTGGGTTTCTACCGGTTCTGTTTATCAACAGGACTTTATAAAAGAATACTTATGCTATTAATACCCAATCTCAGCTTTAGATATCTATTAGCCAAATGAATTAATTGGGTTTTTTGTGGATAAAGGAGTCCAGCATCAGCCTCCATATATGCTTCAAAAATGATGACTGCTAAATGGAAGAAGCATAACCTTCATTCCAAAGGGCTTATCTATGGATCCCATGCAAAGCATTGTCAAGGTATCGTCCACTGCACAGATGGTCCATGGTCCATTTCTTGTTTCTTCCTTGCACTTTTCAAAACTACTCATTGCTTGTCTGCCTAGATTGGAGAGAAAACACAGCCAAATGAACAAATTCTACTTTATTGTATGATAACGTTAACATAATTTTGCAAATCTTCTCCCTCCCCCCCTCCCCCCTCCTCCCTCCCAAGCCCCCCTCTCTCTCATTCCCATTTATAACCCAAGAAACTCTTCTGAGCCTCTTGTTCACCACATTCCTTCTGTGAGCTCTGCTGACCACTTTTATCTGACCACTCCCTTGATTGTGTCTCTTTGCCCTGTCTCCCAAGGTTACTTTCACATACCTTTACACTGCTTCAACTTTTGTTTGGTCTGAGAGAATAATTGGTATTTGAGTACCCAGGTTATAAAAAATGTTCATGCATAAGGTTGAACCCAAGTTTATTAGTACACTAACTCAATACCCGTGCTTCGCTACGAAATCATGTGGTCAGACTTAGTTTTGGGGGAGGAAAATAAGGGGAAAAAATGTGTGCCTCTGCCTACCAGCATCCATTGGTATTCATCTGGCTAGCATCCTGTCAATGTTGAGAAACTGAAACAGTATTTGCTGTGTGAGCAAGACAAGAGACAGCAAGGAGCCTGGGGGTGGCTTAGCTCAACTTTACTGAACTAAAGTTGCTTGGTGCTGTGAACTGAAACTGAAACTCCACTCCTCTGCTTGTGTTTTGCATTTGGAACAGATTTCTTTTCAGGTGGGTAGAGGGAGTAGAACTCCTTAGCATCAGAGCGTGTTAATAATAATATACGAAATACTAATGCTCCAGTAAAATCTCCAGTCAGAGGTGATATTTGCCGGTTCTCTGAACTATTCAAAAATTTCCGCTACCGGTTCTCCAGAACTGGTCAGAACCTGCTGAATACCACCTCTGAACTGGATGGACAGATGGGTCCAGCAATTGCCAATCCTTTATGCAGACCATTCCATCATGCTTTACTTTTGATGACCACATCACACAAAAGAGAGTTTGATGACAGGGTATCCGTGAGGGCATGGGAAGTCTCTTCTCTTCTTAAGAAGTATAATATACTTAACAACATATTAAATAAACATGCATTTGAAGTTCAAAAATATTAATGCCTGAAATCTCATTTACTTTTGCTACGACCTGAAATCTTGTAAAAAAATTAAAATCTGAATACCAAATAGTAGTGATCTTCCAAGATTTTAGACATTTAAAGAAAAAGATATTTTGGCATCCAAATGATGGGGCACTTGCTGGAATAGTGTTAGATCACTAATTCTACCTATTCATGATTTTTTATTAATACGGTTGGTTCAGAGGTCACATTCAGCAGGTTCTGACCAGTTCTGGAAAACTGGTAGCAGAAATTTTGAGTAGTTTGTAGAACCAGCAAATACCATATCTGACTGGCCCTGCCCCCATCTATTCTCTGCCTCCAGAGTCCCAGCTGATCGGCTGGGTCTTCTTTTGTTGCCCTGCACAGGAGAACGGAGCTGGAAAGCAGGTTAGTGGGGTAGGGAGGGAATGGGATTTTGCAGTAACCTTTCCCTACCATGCCCACCAAGCCATGACCACCAAGCCACACCACGCCCACCAATCCATGCCCACAGAACCGGTAGTAAAACAATTTGAATCCCACCACTGGCTTGGTTGCATAGTCAGCCAGATGTTCAAAGTTGATCTGGCATTTTTTGTCTACCTATCAAGTCCTTCCCAAGGACCTGGGGTAGGCAGCCCTCAGCATTGAAACCTGTAGCCTGTCACTGGACATCCAGGAACTCCCAACACCTAGTGCAATCCTTGTTGACATGGGCAATCACTGATCTGATCTGGGTTTTAGTAAGTTATGTCTCACCATATTGCTTAAAGAATGTTGTTTGTCCTCTGTCCAGTATGACTGAAACTCTGGCATAGTTCTTGCCTTCCTCAAAGCACATAATCCACACAACCACCTCAAGATAGTGCTTAACTGGAAGATTACTCTTGTTAATATGGTTCATCACAAGTCAGCCAGATGTTTAGACTGGATTTGGCCTTTTTGTCCATCTACTAAGTTTTCCCCAAGACTTGAGATAGGCAGATGTTGTCTGATAGTATTAAAGTATCTTGGAAGGATGCACGCTACCCCGAGTAAAACTGTCTTTTGCAATTAACTGATGGTGATTTTGTCAATGCCGATGGTATTTAGTGGTGAGTGGTACTGATGCCAATGGTATTTAGTGGTGGTATGGATCATTTGGGATTGTACAAGAGACACCTATCATTATTGATACATTTTATTTCTTTTGCCACAGTTGTTCTATTTGCAGGGTTCATCAAACAGCCAGCTACATGTTTAGACTGGTTTGGCATTATTATTTTACTGTGTTTATTATTATTAGTTATTACTTTTTATCCTGTTTACTATGGTAAATAGTTTAACTTGCAACAATGCCCAAACTCTACATCTTACCTATTAAAACAGATACTTCTATGCACAATTTCTTCTGAAAGAACATTTTTGTATGCTTTTTCTGAAGCTACAAACTGCACTGAAACATTTGGAGAAGTAGTAACTCAGGAAACAAAGTACATTTTGACTGACTAGTCTGAACATGCTTTAGTTTAGAGTGACACAGAACAAGATTCTCCAACAACCAAATGAGTCTGGGAATCTCCAGGCGACACCTGACACGTTCCTGATGGTTGTCCCCATCATCTGGCCTTTGGACCCAAGGAAGTTTGTCCAAATATCCTTCAACAGTTCCCACCAAGCCAGTCATGTTGGCTATGCATATGTGGCGCTGGATTGGGAAAGCTGCCTCCAACCTCATCATAGAGCAGCTGTTCTGCATTAAATACAAACATTCTGTGTAAACAGTTGGACTGGAGACTTAAAAAACAAATCAGTAAGAAACCATCAACCACAAAGAAGTTCTACTTCCCATTCAAAGGCATTTGCTTCTGGAAAAAAAATATAATTTTATTTAGCACACTTTCGCAACATTATCCCCAGAGTCCAAACCAAGGAGGCTGTCAGCTGGTGCTCCATTCAAAATCCAAGAAAGAAATACTTAAGACTCTTTTAATCAGAGAAAATATATCTTTTACTGGAAATCGAGTGGTAGCAACAAAAGAATTCTGAATCTCAGAAAATGGGCGTGTAAATCACATATACAAAGTAATGGCAACGTTCCCACCCCCAATAGTTCAATTGGCTCATCCAATTAAAAGTTGTGTATATGTTGACCTTGACATAGTTTGATAAAGGGTTGCAGCTGCCGCATAGCATAGGATAGAAACCTAAGCAAGAATGTACCCCCCACCCCAGCTTATACAGTTCTGGTTTGTAACACCTCCAGCTCACTTCCGTTACTCATGACAGCCGAAAGGTGCAAAGCAAAGGGAGAAAAATCTTGAAGGCTGACAGGGGCCTTTTTTCTGGCGACAGGAAGGCTCAGAGTCACTCGGCCAGACGTCCAAGCCCTGGTTCGCCCTTCTTTTTTTAGTAGTCCAGAAGTTGCTTGGACTTGTCCTCCGTGTGCACAGCACATTAACTTCACTTCACTTCACTTCACTTCATTTCACACGCGCGCCAAAACCTCTGCCTCGTCTCCACACCCAGTTCTACCGGTTGAGCGGCATCCGCGCGCTCTCCAAACCGCGGGGAACTTTCTGCCTTTGTGGCAGGGGCGGGCGTTTTGCTTTCGTTCTTTTGGGATTGCCTTTCCCCACGCCTTGGCACCTCACCCCCATATTGTCTTCCCCGCCTTCGGTTCCCCCTCCACCTTTTCCTGACCCTCTCGCCCGACCAGACTCCTCCCTTCTCTTCCTCCCTCCCAGGTTGCTTTTCTGCGCCCGCGGTACGCCACAGCGGGGCCCCATCCTGACAGAGAGTGGCAGCCAAGAGACGATTTTTGCCCTCCGTCTCCGAACTTCTCCAATGTTTAACTTGGCGCTGCTGACGGCCCAGCGTATCCGGGACGGGAGGGCAGGGAGGGAGGGACGGAGAGAGGGAGGGAGCCTGAAGAAAAATCGCCCGCCGTTGTTGTTTTCTCCCTTTTACACACTGATTTCCCTGGAAGCCAAAGGACCGGCAGGAGCTTCCCGCAATGAAGGTCAGTAAGCGGGTTTCGCCCCTCGCGTCTAGCTCAGCAGCGGCTGTTCACGCGCGGAAAAGTGAGGCGAAACTCCTCTAGGTGTTTGCTTGCGCGAAGGCAAGGAAGGCGACTCGGTGCCGCTTGGCTCTCAGCCCGAGGCTTTTTGGCTTCGCCGTTTTCTGTGCTGTTGCCGGTGATTTAAGGCGCCCCAAGACTCAAACGTTTAGCCTCCTTAGCCGGCCCCGCGCTGCTGCACACGTGGCGGTATCGTTTCCAAAGAGGGCGGTTTTGCTGTGAGCATGTGGATGGAACATTGCACCTCGGCACTGCTGAACAACGCATAAGTGGATAGCCTCAAAAGAGCCTCCCAGCTGTATCTTTAAAAGGGCAACAAAACGTCAATCAGTAGCAGAGTTTCTTAATCTGGGGCGAAACTCTTGAGGCTCAGATCGATTTTGACAAACATTAAAAATGCAGGAGTGCTTTTCTCTTGCTTTCAGACTAAACAGAGTTCGGAGTTCAATTTTGTGCTCGCCCTAGGGTGAGCCACATATGCCAGTCCCCTTTGGCAGGAGACAAGGACCACAGAAATACTCCTGCCCTTTGTTGTTCACAGCATTCAGAAGTATATTTCGTTTTGAAACAAGAGGCAGAACCTAGTACAAAAAAGAGGGTTGATTTGCATGCCTACAGTATAAATCTGTATGATTACAGCATAGACGTTCTCATAGAAGAGAAATTGGCAGCTAAACCTTATGATACCAACACAGGTCCAGACAAGGATCTGCAGTATTGAATGGGAGTTACCAGGCAAAAGGATCATATGTAAAATCCAATATAATCCCCGTAGACAAGTTGCTAGAATAAATGTATAACTCTTGAGATTCTACCAACCCTTAGAGAAACAAATTTCATATTATAATCTTACTATTTATACCTTGATAAGAGTGTTACATGGGACTTCTGGTTTGAAGGGCTTCGGCGACAGACAGGAATCTGTGATCATGCGCGGTTTCTGCCTGGGCTCGCCGCTGGAGCGCCCCGAGCCGGCTGGTTTCAGGGCTAAGCCACCCCGTAGAGGTGGTGAAGAAGGGGGAGACTGCCAGCAGGGTCAAGGAGAGCATCTCTTCTCCTCAGTTGGTCAAACTCCCTTTCCTGAAGGCAGTTGCAGCGGTGGTCAGAAATGGCCACCTCAAAGAAGAACTCAACCGGAAAAGTATGTGCAGGAGGAAGATAAGAAATGAAAGGTTTGGCTGACCAGGTTAAATTGCAAAAGCAACAACTAAGGTACCCTGGAATTTAAACTAAAAAAAACCAACAACATCATTCCCAAAGAAGAGTCTGAAGCAGCGAAGGAAAGTGAAAAGGGAAAGGTTTGACTTTTTTTTTCTTCTCTCTCCTTCCTTATATTGACAATTAAGAATAAGAAATTGCAAAAATCCACTTTGGCATCAATAGGCAATTAAGCTGAAAATATAACTAAATGCCAAAGGGACAATAAAGATTTCTGGACATTAAAAACTTTTTCTTCTATAAGCAGGAAGGGAGAGAAAAAGAATAAGGACAGGATCTGGAAGAGGGAGGAGACTGCCTGGTCTTTAAAAGAATCTAAAGTAAAATTTCAATAAGACTTCTAAAAGATACATTTTAACTGAAACTTTGCAACTAAATAGTAAGAGAGAGGAAGAGAAAGTGGAGAAAAAGAGAAAGAGTAAAAAGAAACAGTTTGTGTGTATTTGGATTGCATGGTGATTTTTGGATTCTTGGTTATTATATCTGAATGACTAAAATCAATCGGTTGGTTGCTTAAAAATTTCTACAATGGCATTACTTTTGGATGAATTGAAAATGAAACTTAAAAAGTATAAAGAAGATGCACAAGAAGGGAAGGTTCCTTTGGCTTCATTTTTCAATTCCTAGAAATGGAGATTTGGAACTATGAGAAACAACAAGAAAGACTGCAAAGCAAGAAGACTGGGACAAAGAAGAAGCCATCTTTAATGAACAAGTAACTCTATGTGGGGAAGAAAAAGGAAAGGGGGGAAAGAGGATGGAGAAAAAAAAAGTGTTACATGGCAGGTTGTTTGTATTAAATGAGTAATCAAAGGGGAAACAAATCAAATAGCTAAAATCTGTTGGTGATAAATTAAATACCGTCAATTAGGGGCAGTAGTTAAAGAAGGAATTCTAAGGAACTATAAGAGTTCTAAACCTCCCTTGGATGTGAAGTTAGCTGAATGACCATTGACCAATCTTAGTCCTTTGAAGAAGGCAGTGACAAACCACTGCTGAAAATCTTGCCCCCAAAACAATAAAGACTTGTGCATGTACACTAAAGAAGAACCTGATTCAAAGAAAATAATAATAATGACAATAAATATAACTGGAGAACAATCCTGATTATTGGTGGGGGTGTTCTTTAAAATCTGCCAAGGCCTGTTGATAATCTAGTTGTATTTAGCTTTATTCTCCATGAAAAAACAAGCTCCCACCCCAATCCTCTGAATATTGTAGCTTCAAGGCTAATTTTGTCAAAAATGATTGGTAGGATGATTGAAGGAAGTTTTTGTTCACGGATGCTTTTAAATGCATAAAACCTAAAAGTACTGTGAATTCAAATAACATGTTAACATAAAATTAAAATAAACCACTCAACTGAGAGACAAGAAACCTGTTCTATTTATTTGTGCAGATGAGGGTTATTACTTTATAATGTCATGGCTGTGAATTAGAGAAATGAAATTCCTAGAATTTTTGAAACTTATTAGGAAAACTACGGAGGGGAGTTTTGGGGTGGGTGGGTGGGGTTTAATTTGGAGGGAATTTTGGAGGGAAAGTGAATTTAGTTTGAGCACCCTTTATGAATGTACAGTCATTTGGTTACCTATGAAATGCAGGACAGATAGTTTGGTTTGTTCATAAAAGTATGTTTGATGTACAGTATAAAATTGAAAAATATGGTTTATTCACTCAATAAATGTAAATTTATATTTTGAATATACTTTAAAAAGTTTTTAACATGTTACAACTGGTATTACAAAGTGGTATATTCTAAGAAATCTAGTACTATATCTCTTTTATGCCTTTGTAGGAAAAGGAAGCAAGTTCAGAGTAATTAAAATACAGGAAACCACCAATGTTGCAGGAAAAAAAAAGTGCGCATTCTGGACATATATCAAAAGTATTAATTTTTAGAAAATGAGAAGGAGAGAGGCACAGACCAAAAAAACCTCATTTTGTCACATGAAATATTTTCTAACCACCTTCCTTTTTCTGAAGATGAGGTGGTATACTTACTAACAGTTTCTAGTTTTTCCAATCCTTTATTTTTAATTTTACAGTAGACTTCTAAAAGCTGTCTTGTCTTGATACAGGTTCTTCTATTCTTTCACATGTTAAGTTAGTTAAACACAGAAATAGTGCATCTTCAAAAGACCTTCACATTATAATCATTGCATACAAATGTAAAGAAAAATATTTGAAAATGTTTCATAATTTATTTTATTTTTTTATTTTGTGATGAGAAAGTCCTCGGGAGAAAAATTATATAATTTTTCCCCAGGCCTCCCTATGTCTTACACATTTACTTCGTTTTAATAATATGGGAGATTTTGCTAACTTTCATAACATTACAATCCTGGGCTTTCCAGTAAAAATAAATGGAGATTTGTGGTAGTTTAAAGGACAATGTTCTTCCCACCAGCACACAGTTAAATTACAGAATTCACAGTAAATGTGGATAGCTTTTGAAGGGAATTACTAAAACTTAAGGAAGATAAAAGTTACCAACGGTTGCTATCCATGCCAACATAGTAGGTATACTTTTCTGGATCACCACTGTAGTAGCATTCCATATGAATCTGAAGAATCATTGTTGGAAACTGGATGTTGTAGTAAATAAGCCCTTAGCTTCATCAAGATCTTTCCCAGTTTCTAACATACATTTAACTTCTTGATTTGTTTCTTTCCAGACGGTACTGAAATGCTTCTTAGGGCTTCTTGCACTTGGAGTTATCATTACAGCCATAGTTGTTCCAGTAGTTTTGCTAACAAGGGATGGTAAGTTTAATCATCACTTCCTATTTTAGTATTGTAAAAAAAAAAAAAAATTGAAACTCTGCCTTCTAAAGCCTTCTTCCAGAGCCTCTTTACCTAAAACAGAGCCAAAAAATGTATCTGGTGTTATATAAATCAGGGTTGTAAAAACTTTGAAAATAAAATATTTTAAAAAATAATTCAAATAATTCAGTGTGTTTGTTATAGCTTGAACACAGCATCTGTCTGCTACTTATTAAAGCAGCCTTTTTTTAGTTTCTGTGTAAATCTGACAAAGGGCAGCTGTTACAATAAATCATTGGATGTAATGCTACACTTTAAAATTATTGATATAGTTTTCTTTGTAATATATTTTCAAATAATATAAGAAATAGGTTGTAGAAATAAGAAAAGAAGATATAAGTAGAGAAATGCAGGTGGATGAGCAACAAATCTGACACATAAAATTAAGACATTCGGAACATAATAAGAAACTTTCAGTATTATCAGATATTTCATGTCCATTTTCTGGTCAAACTTCATGTATACCTGTTAAACATTATAGTTGAATCAAATTATTTTTATAACCATAATGCCAGGTGCAAAATTTAAACTAAATTTATTGGTTAATTATATTAATCATTGAAAGAAAATGATAAATAGTGAATAATTCATTTTACTAATATTATAAATTATGTATTAAAATATGAGCTCTAAAACCCAAATATCTCATGTGATACAATTCTTTGTATAAGATTGCAGTTCAAGAATAGATTCCAATTAAAATTAAATTCTCATTGGATCTGCTTTTTCAATACAAAATTATTCTGGACATTGAAGGCACAGCACCACAATTTAATTAATCATTTTTCTGAAAAGCTTTTTTCAATAAAAGGCATATAATATAATATCAGCTGTGCTGATATTAATAGTTTAGATTTAAACAAACTCTTTTTGTGTCCTTGAGTTGATTTAATTTTTTAATTAAAGATTATAATTGCAATAGTAAAATCAATTTAAATTTTAGCCAAAAAGGTATTAAGAGTTGTTAACCTAATCCTATGTAGCTTTTTCTCTGGTAATATCACACTATTAACCAGAGCATACAAAACATTTGCTAGACCAATACTTGAATACAGCTCATCAGTCCGGAACCCACATATGTATCTGATATTAGCACAGTTGAGAAAGTCCAGAAATATTTCACAAGAAGAGTTCTCCACTCTTCTACTTGTTGAAGAATACCTTATGCCCCCAGACTTGAAATTCTAGACCTAGAAAACGTAGAACTACTCCGCCTTCGGTCCAATCTAAGTATAGTATATAAAATTATACATTGCAATGCCCTACCTGTCAATGAATACTTCAGCTTTAACCATAACAAGACAAGAGCAAACAATAGATACAAACTCAAGGTAAACCACACCAAACTTGATTGCAGGAAATATGACTTCAGCACCAGAGTGGTCAATGTCTGGAATACTCTACCTGACTCTGTGGTTTCTTCCCCAAACCCCAAAAACTTTAACTTTAAACTGTCTACTATTGACCTCACCCCTTTCCTAAGAGGTCTGTAGGGGGTGTGCATAAGCGCACCAATCGTGCCCACCGTCCCTGTCCTATTGTTTCTTTTATTTTTCTTATATGTATCCATTTCATGTATTCATAACTATGTTTATACTTATGCCTATTATCTTATAATTGCTTGACTAAATAAATAAATAAGAAAGAATAAAAAGCAAAGGAAAAAAGACATAGAAGATAGAAGGTAAATAAAGTAAATATAAATTATAAATATAAAAATATGATAAAGAATTTCGACTAGAGAACAGCCTTTTCTGCTGTGGCTGCCATCCTTTGGAACACCTTTGCCAGAGGTGAGATATACCTCCATCCTTCTGGCCTTTCAGAAGGGCCTTAAAACTTGGTTCTGCTTTTAATTAAAATCTTTAGTTCCCTCTAGAATCCAATTTTAAAAATTGTTTATCTCTATTATGTCATAGAAAAAATTCAAATCCACTTTCCTCAAGGAAGAAATTATGATTAATTCCCAAATTTTATTGCAATTTAATTCATTTATAACTTTCTAAAATCCAAATTTTAATTAGCTTTTTACTGGGTTGGTTTTTTTTTACAGAAAAATCATTTCTAAAGCTTGTAGTTAAGTATTTTTTTTCTTTAAGGATTGAAGGCAGAGTCACTCAGTATTTTCAGATTTCTCTATTCAAAGATCTCTAATAGCTGAAAAATAGTTTATACCAAATTTCCAAAAGTGATTAGAAAAATGAGTAGATTAGAAAAGAATTTAGCATGTTTTTAAAGGCACTGATCATAAACTGAGCTAGATAGTTATTCCTGCAATTCCCAGAAACTCTTAAGTCTGGAGCACTTGTAGGCAATCTCACATCCTCTTTTATCTAGAGAGATTCAAAGAATCTATCTATTTACTGGCTGTTTTTTCTTTGCTACATTTGTCACCTTCATTTCAGTCTTCCATTTCCTTCTCCAGGAGTCCCACATTGGAATCAATTTTTGGTTCCTAGCAACTGCCTCAACTAGTCTCTGCAGTTTTCTTGGCAGGATTTTTTTTGTAGCTGTTTGCGATTATCTGCTTCTTCCTAGGTCTGAGAGAAAGTGAGTAGCCAAAGTCACCCAACTGGCTTTGTGTCTAAGGCAGAACTATAACTCTCGGTGTCCTGGGTTCTAGCTTTAACTACAATCTCAAACTGGCATTGGGATAATTGCATTACATTTAGAATATTTATACATTAAGATGCTCTGTACCAGAGCCTGGGTGCCAGATCGGGCCTGTAGGGTGCTTAGATCTAGCCTGTGAGGTCACCCTGGCCCGCGGTGACTCTGCCAGCAAAAACAGAGCTTGGGAGGGGTGCTCTGTTTGCTCTGACAGAGGGTTGCAGGAGGCCATCGCAGGCAAAAACAGAGTTGGGGAGCCCATTTTTGCTGGCATAGCATTCGGGCCACCGCAGGCGTCCCCAGCATGAATAACATTGAGCTAGCCATGCCCACCCTGGCCACGCCCATCCTGGCTCCCCAAGGTTAAGCATAACCCTGATGCACCCCTCAATGAAAACGAGTTTGACACTCCTGCTCTATACTAAAACTGGAAAGTGGCCGAAATTCAGGCTCAGTTGTTCAGAAATTTTTCTCTGAGCATATAGAGTGTGGAGAGCCAGTTTGGTCTAATGGTTAAGTCACTGGGCTAGAAACCAGGAAATTGTCAATTCTAATCCCACCTGAGGCATGAAAACCAGATGGGTGACCGAGAGAGAGACATTTCTCTTAGCCCAACTCACCTCAGAGTTTAAAGTTGTGGGGAAAATAGGAGGAAGGTATTCAACATTTTTACAGATTTTAATTAGTTGTAAAAATAATAAAGGTGGGATACAATTGAATAAAATATGATGCTAAAAATGAATCCATAAAAAAACGAATCCACTTGTAATGTAAATTTGATCTCATTTTTGTTATATCAGATGAAATTGGTTATTCATTACTGTATATTTAACTTAAATCAGTTCAGTAGCTATTTAGTAGAATTTGTATAACATTACACTTATTAAACGTCAAATCCTGAATGAATTTGTGGTCAATGAACACTCACAGTTCCTGTGTGTTTTAGAATATATTATCCTTGTGAATTTTAGAATTTATCGTTCACAAGAATGTGTGGATCCGTAAAAGAATCATTGAAACAGCTTCTTACAGAGTGGAACCTTCTTTTTGTGTCTTATATATGAAACTGTGACAGAAACTTGGCATATAGAAAAAAAGAGAACTTTTCTCTTTATAGAATATGGATCTTATCTTGTTTACCATATATAGCGTGTCTCAGTAAAAGTCTAATTAAATCTCTTATCTGAAAAGCTATACATTTTTCACAGCTGATGAGATTTTATTAGACTTTTATTACTTTTATACTAAAGTTGAACTTTTGTCTTTTATTATGCCTGTTTTTTTTAATGATTGATGACTCCTGGTGCTTCTGAATGAATCTGTGATCTGAATGATCTCTGATTACAAGGAAAGAATATAATACAGAATATAATACAGAATGACCTGAGCTAGATGGTAATTGATTGGAATATGTCAAGGACAGGGTACTGAGAGTTCAGTCTCGTTCCTCTTCTTCCTTCCATCTTTCCCAGCATTATAGGTAGTCCTTGACTTATGACTGTTTAATGATGGTTCAAAATTACAGTGCCCTAAAAAAATGACTTATGACCCATCCTTGAAGTTATTACATATTGTATCACTTCTGCTGTCATGTGATTGCAATTTGGGTATCCCATTTACAATGCAGCATTGTGCATTCGTGTGATCATGACTTGTGACCTTCCAGCTGGATTCTGACAAGCAAAGTCAATTGGAGAAGCCAGATTCACTTAATGACCATGGTTAATGACTTAATGACGATGGTAAAATAATCATAAAACCAGGTCCAATTTGCTTAACAACTTAGCATCACTTAATGTCTGAAATTCTAGCCCCAATTGTAGTCCTCAGTTAAGGACTACTTTTAAAGCCTTCTTTAGAGAAAATATAGAGTTACAATTAATTATGCCAATAAGCCATGGACTTCATTGCCTATACATGATAGCTTTGAATTTATAGGCAACTTTGTTTTTCAGAGCTCATGTCTACAGCTGGCTTCCTCAGACTTTTTTTTCTGCAATGGCTGTTTATTTTGTTGTATTCTTTCTTGCCTTTTTAATAGAATTGGATTTTATAGTTTTTTTAAAAAAATACTATAAGCTGAGAGATAAAATTATAGAAGAAAGGCAGAATATAATACTGTAATTTTTATTTTATGTATGGATAAATAACATGGTACAATAAAAGCTGTTATTAGATCCATACAATTGATGAAGCTGCTAATTTTTAGCAAAGCCGCTCTTGGGAAATTGAGTGAAAAGCCACCTTCAGATTGATAAAGCAGCATATAGAAATTACTTAGCAAAAATATTTTTTTATTTTTTATTTTTTTATTACTTTATTGTTTCAGAAACATCAAACAGAAGAAAGATAATTCAGAATTGCTGTGGGACAAGAATTACAATAATAATCAAATAAATTATGGAATAGAATCATTAAAGGATGCAAATGGATGGACAGAATGAAATGTGAATGACAAAAATTAAAATAATTTTCAATTATTTTAGATTTTAATAAATAATTAAATTGAATTGTTAAATTGTCCCATGGAGAGTTTTCTCGTAGCGAGTTGGCTGTGGTGAGTTGGCGAACTGGCCATGGTGAGTTGGCCATAGTGAGTTGGCTGTTGTGAGTTGTCCTATTCCATTACAATAGGGTGATAGCATCCTTCAAGGTGAACCTTACTTTTTTTTCCTTTTCTTTTATTAACAGATTCCGATACCCGCAGAAAATTTTCTTTGGAGGATTATCTGAATAATGATTTTCAGTACAAATCATACAATGTGAGGTGGATGTCAGGTAATGAGCGTAAGCTTTTGGAATGCCTTAGAGCGGTTTCATTTTTTTTTTTTTTTTACAAATATATGTTGGACAATGAATGAGTTGTGTCCAAATCACACAATCTTTGGGAGCATTATTCATCACAGTCTCACAAGATTTGTTTACAGAATCAAAAGTGTACATTCTTTCTCAAAGCTTTATGTCAGTGATCAGCTAACCAATCACTAATATGGCTAACAGCATACAAAATTCATCTAAGAAATATTTGAAACAATTGAACGCTGTTTTGTTTCTCATTGTCCCGACAGCCTCGTGATGAGCTTTTATCCAAATTTGATTGTAGCCCTTTTTTCAGTGAGAAGCCCTAGAACAGTGATAGATATATACTTTTTTATATATACTGGACAGCGTTTGAAGATTATCCAGAAATTGTAGTCCTTTCTGGCATTTGAGAGTTGCTTCAGCAATGGGACCCCTGTACTGTAGTCAGTACATGGCTTACCAATATGTTCACAAGTAAATTCGGAGTACTATACTGATTGGTGAAGCCTTGGATTGCTTGGCCGCCTATATGAACCTCTCTTCCAAATAGAACTGTGTGATGAACTCTGGAAGGGATGTTATGGGTCTGTTCCTTCTGGGTGATTGGGAAAGCAGGAAGAACCCAGGATTTATTTATTTTTTCATGACTCTTTGGAGCACTGTCCCCCTTGAGATCTGTGTATCATCCATCTGCTTAACATTCTGGAAAGCAATGAAAACCTGGCAGTTCCACCAAGCTTTTGCAACTGGGGCTGGGTACAGGGCAGTGTGACTTTTAACATTTTGGTTGTGATTATTATAAGCTCAGTTCCTGGGGTTTTAACTTATTGTTAAAATGCACTGTTTTAGATATTTAATTTTATGCAAGCTTCCTAAAACTTGTTGGAAGTGGCAGGACGTAAATCAGTCTAACAATGGTTATAGACTAAGCCAGCATCTCTAAATATTTCCTTTACTGTAGCTGGGATGTGTCCTAGCCAACTAATTAAATCATTTTTGCCCCATCTTCCCCACTTCATTTTTTATAAATTCCACTTCATAAACATGGAGTGTCAGAACTCATTTGAGTAGAATATTCTCCAACCACATAATAGACAATTTAAAAATAAGGAGTTCTCTGACTCATTTGAATTCATACATGATAAATAGACTGTTGTGACAATGAACTTAATAAATAATGCAGGATTTTTTATTGACTTTGTGTGGAGGGGAGAGATAAGGTTTTGTTTATTGGCACTGAATGTTTTCCTGTTTTTCTTCCCTTTTTAGGTCATGAGTATGTCTACACAAATCAGAACAATGTTTTTCTGTACAACATTGATGATGGAAAAGAGTCTATAATCTTATCAAATAACACATTAGTACGTTTTTTTTTTAAAAACTACCTCATCAGTTCAAAAGTGCTCTGAACTGAACATTTTCTTCCTTAAACAATGTTTTATTACTAATTTGTTTTGTTTTATCTACAGGAAATTTGGAATAATTCTGTTGCAATATTGTCACCCGACAAAAAATTTGCTCTTCTGCGATACAGTTATGAGAAGGTAGCAATGATATTATGCTTTTATATGCCATTTAGTATATTTGTATTGATAAAAAATTGTTTTAATCCTTTACAACAAGAGTGTCCAAACTTGGCAACTTTTAGACTTATGGATTTCAACTCCCAGAATAACTCAGCCAGGCTGCTTAGGAATTCTGGGAGTTAAAGTCCATAAGTCTTAAAGTTTCCAAGTTTGGAGATCCTACTTTACAAAGTGAATATGGATTCACTTTGACATTTAGATAGGTGAGGACTTGAATGGCCCTTTGTGGTTATTAAAATCTAGCCAGTTCTCCACACTGCACCAATCTCTTTTCAATGATTTTACTTTAGTAGTTATCTTCTATTTAATTTCTCATTCATTCCCAACTTCTTGACCACTAACACAATGGTTTTTGTAAACAATGACAAATTACTTATTCCACACAGATGGTCTTCAACTTAGAGCCATTTGTTTAGTGATCATTTAAAGTTACAGTGATACTGAAAAAAAAACCCAAATGCAATGATTCACTCAACAACTGTGGTAAGAAAGATCGTAAAATGGGCAAAATTCAGCTAACAATAGTTGTGCTGAGAAATTGATATGTTGGGCTCAATTGTGGTCTTAAGTTGAGGATTACCTGTACCTTGTTATTTTACAAAACTTTAGGACTGCAGGCATGAGAGTGAGACAGTACTGAAGAGAAAAAATCCTGGAGAAATATTAAAGATATAAGTACAGTACAAAGAATGCTGAAATTATAAGCATAAATAAAGGATTGTCATACCAGCTGTCCCTATAGAATGGTATAAATGATATAAAGTCTTTTCTGAAGGCATCCTATTTGTGTAAGATATTTGTGAAATGATGTCACAAAGAGGTATTGAAAAAGAAGATCATGTGTGTGGGAGTGGTAACTATTTATTTGTCTTTTTGTAAACCTGAAATAAGGAGATTTTTTCCTTTTCTGAAGTCTGTGGTAAGAGTGCCACTCATTTCATATCACTGATTCTGTTGGTCAGTCTGCATGTTATCAGAATTCCAAGATTGACAAAAAAATATCATTATGATTTAGCTACACATTGCTTTGTGGAGAACTGGTAAAAAGGACCAGAGTAGCGTAGAAATACCCTCAATGTGTTTGTGATAAGGGAAAAGACAATCCTTAATCTTGAAGGGTTATTTTATGTCATAATAAATTATAGTTTAGCAGTATAGCTAAATATTACATGCTATATTGTAGCCATACACTAGGACTGATATTTATTATTTGAAGTCTTTATTTCTAGAAGGTATCAAGAGGTCTGAGTTAAAGTTGAATTTTGTATATCATGAACTCATGATCATTAAATGTAATATGGGTAAAATTCATGCAAACAGGACTTCTAAAAAAAATATTAACTTTGAACTACATTCTTGTTTTTTAAGTGTTTTTCTTTATATGCAAATATAATTTTTGCAGGTGTGGAGGCACTCATACACAGCATCATACCATATCTATGATCTAAATAACAGGTCAGTAACTACATTGTCTTTTTGTGATGTTTCAATGGCTTACATTATGTTGATAATTTTATTTATGTTTCTTCATAGAACCATAATAACTGAGAATCCACTTCCTACAACTATCCAGTACATATCATGGTCACCTGCCGGACACAAACTGGTTAGTAAAATACATAGGGTTTTGCTTTCTTATAACTAAGTCTTTCTTGTAACACCAATTCAGATATTCCTGTGCACCATTTCTATAATCCAAACTGCAACAGAAATTTCTGGAAGATTTAGAGGAGAAAATGTAAGAGGAGAAAGGAATGTTACAGAATATTTACATAAGGACTCCAGTTCATTTAACCAGATTAAACGTTAAATATACAAAGAACTGGTATCATATATATTTTACAGTAAATGCGTAGAGGCCCAGTTCAAAGTGAGGCGACTTGGGAGTGGGGGAGCTTAATTCTCTCTTGCCTCCTTATTCTAAAAGTCATCACATGCACATTTTTTAAAATCAGCAATTTGTGAAAACATAAACCTGATTTCGCAGGTTAATCAGAGCGAATTTGACTCTGGGCTTTAATTCACAAACTTTCTAGGTTTAAAAAATATGGTAAGAGAGTTGCATGCTAAATTTTTATGATGTGGTTTAACTCTCAATGGCATGACAAATTGACAGAAACACAACCCACTAGCAACTGGTTGAATTGGTAATAGAAGGAGAGGGAAGAAGAGACTTGATCTTAGAAGTATAGAATCTTACATCTAAACATCAAGCTGCAAATACTTTATGATACTTTAAGGGGCAAATGCAAGAAGTTAATGAAAAGAGAACCAATATTTTAATGTGGAGAAAATTGGGTAAAACAATGTTAAGATTTCTTGGGATTAACTAGACAAAATGCAACATTCTAGGTCTTTCTTGTAAACCATTCTGATTTTTTCTTTATTCTTAAAATAACAAGGGTAAAAGAAATTCAATTTCTTGTATTTGGAAAGGTGAGAAGAATCTTACAGTATAAAAAAAAATATCCGTTTAGAGTTGATGTGCGTAGAAATAGAGGAAATGAAAGTAAATGTAATTTGTTTGATCTAAAGTAAAGGTTATAAAATCATTTTCTGATGGTAAATACTGTAATGTTTGTTTATGGCAGGCTTATGTTTACCGTAACAATATTTATGTGAAAACAACACCAAATGCCAAACCTGTTGAAATCACAGAGAATGGAGCCGAAAACAAAATTTTAAATGGATTAGCAGACTGGGTATATGAAGGTAACTGTCGTTGAAAGGGGGGAAAACCCCTTAAGAGCAACTTAATTGCCATCACAAACAGAAATAAAATATTAGGTTTATGTAAAGTTTCTGTTGAATTCACTGCTTGGAATGAAGGGGGGGGCAACTTCACCTTTGAGTCACATAACCCTTTCTAGCTTTCAAAACTCCCAGTGAAATAATCCCAGTGAAAGTGTTATCTGGACAGGGACGAAGTAGCCTCAGAAAACTGAGAAAGAGCCTTAGAAAATTTGATACCCTTTAGAAATACAGCTGCAAAGTAGCAAATCCAACACAGTGTATTCTTTATTTGGACAAAAAGAGCCCTCCCCAATGGCTTATGAAATATGTCTTGCCTTGGTAATAGCTGTATTTTGGTAATAACTGTGGATTGGCCTATTAAACAAGCAATATTTCATATTTTACCTCCTCCTCTTTTCTCTTTCATTCACACATGATTGATGGGTAGAATGCTTCCAAACAGTAGAAAATCACTCTCTTCCTCTTGTGTTTTTTTTTCCTGGGATAATAACAACACAATCCAGAATCAAACCGAAGTATTGCGATCAAAGTGGGTGATAAAAAGAAATATATGTATGGTGAACCACAGGTGAACTTTCAATAGCATTTTTATTAAAGAAATGTTTAACAAAGTAACATCATGAAAGGAAATAAAGATAATAAGAATAGTAAATAGTGAAAAAAGAAAAGAAAGATGATTAAAGAAGCAGCTTCCAATCTTACTGATTGATAGTGGTTATAGATAGATTTTAACTTTGCTGTCTTTCTCTGAGGTTACAATCCTCACCACAGCTGAATCTTTCACAAGAAATACAGTGTTATTATTATTACAATATTATTTATAGTTTGTGTCACATATACATAATCAAGAGATAAAATTTAACATTATTGCCATTTTTTGGAGTGAAATATGCTTCCTTCTAAATTTTCTATAAAATAATCCACATAAATTGGCCAAACATCTCATAGAACGAATACCATACTATATGAGGATTGATTTTACTTCTACGATTTGAAGAGAATATTTGTAGCTCAGGATTAAACTGTGGGCTCCTCTGAGCTTGGTTGTTTTCTTGCAGATATGTCATTACCAAACTAGATCCCATTATTGGTACACAGTTGCACTCCTAGCACTCCTAGTGACCAAGCAGCCTATTGATCAAATAGGGATACTATCACATATCTCCAACCATTAACACCAAGAAGAAAACACTGAACATAGATGGAAGCCCTTCTTCCATCTAATATAGGGTATTAAATAAATAGCTAGCAGTAGACATTTTCCCATGTGGTTCTTAAAGATAGAAGAACTGCTTTTATATCAGAATCTGATATCCATTTTAATGATCCTCTAGCTCAGACCATCTCCCATGAAGTCAAAATAAGAGAAAAAAAATATCCAGTTGTGCATGTAACCTCCTGGTGAAAGATTATATGAACAGTTGGTTGTAATATTTTTTTTGTTCTTAATTTCATGAGAAATGGTCAGAGCTACAGGACCATTAAAATGGATTAATGAATTCAAATCATCCCAAAAGGCTAAAAATGCACAAGATTATTTTAAATGTTAATTTAAGCCAACAATATACAATAACTCATTCTGGTCTCAGTGGATATCACTGCAGATTTAATTAGTAAGAAAGTAAACCATGTGACATTTTAAAAAGTTTCTTTTATTGATTCAAACTGGACAATTTGCAGGGGCCTAAAATTTAGAGAGTTGCAAATTACTTTGGGTCTGAATACTTTGAGGGCATCTCTAATAGACAGGCAGTTCAGGATAGAACTAGTACAATTGGCATATGTAACTTGTCTAGACCAAGAATCAGAAACTGAAACATGACTCCTATAATTATAATTACCTCATAGTTACCTATTCCTGTTTATTTCTCAAGTCTCTTGGAAAAATGCATCTTCTTGTATTTTTTTTCTGATGATTTCCTGTTAGGTATTCTGCCTCACAGAAAGTGGCAGAAACTTGAATTGAAGAACTGACTTCTTAGGCCTATTATATTTGTTGAGAGATTTGGCACATCTCCCACATACTAGAGGAAGATTATTGCTTTACTTGTTGTTGTTTTTTATAATTAGCTTATTATAAAAGTTTTTATAGAAGTTAAACAGAAGGAAAGGCAGTGCATCGCTTTGCTTAATCCCCATTGAATTAAGATTTCACTAAATATCCTATCTAAACTGCATTAAAGTATTTCCATGTTATATTTTAATAGCAACAGCTGTAGATTAATGAAAGAGTTTTCCAAACTCTTCCACCATCTGTCTCTAGGGATAGAACCAAAAGCTGATTTTTAAATCAAAAAGATAACCCAAAGGATATTTGCAGAATAGTTGAATATTCCTTTGCTAAATGTTGACCCCTAAAGGGTTTCTTACATAAAATGTATTTGTAATTTTCAAAAATGAATGGAGGAATTCTTAGTAGTCGTTTTATATTTCTTTTATGTTAAAACTGTGATAGTATTCCAGGCAAGATGGGTAGAATACAACTTTAACAAACAAATAAACAAATGAATAACTATTCCAGTTCTGAAATATACTAGATCACACGTTTTTTAATTATTTCAAAGGGTTTTTCAGCTGTCAAATTAGCATTTGCTCTGTAATGGAGTCACAGGATCAAATGGTCCTGGTTTAATTGTAAAATATAATTTAAGTTAGGATGCGAAAACAAGCTAAGGCAAATCATAAGTAAAAGCTTCTTATTTATTCTTACCTTATTAACTCCCAAGAGACACATGAAGAAGAAATGCAATATGTGAATTTTTTAAAAAACAGAAGAACAATTATTCTGTCAAAAAAAAGGAGTGCTATTTGGGTATCCTGGCAACGCTTGATGTAAATGCCAGTGTGAAAAAACACTGTCATCTACTGGAGGATAGTGGCCCCATCTTTTGCCAATAACATTGATAGCTCTTCACTGCATATACCAGCCAGTATATGGGAACACCATTTTGTTACTCTTTATTAACCAGGCAGAGAATTCCCCGATTTAGATGTGACCTCTTTTCCCCATTGGCCTCTGGTCTCAAGTTCAGTAATCAGAAATATAATTAAACAATTTAAACCATCTCAGATTTTATTATGTATGTAATAATAAAAATTCTTTGGAATGGTGGGTCCCAGTGCTAGTTTCTTGGCAATAGGTTGTTCAGCCATGATACCAAGTGATTGAGAGTTTGACTGTTATAATAAAAATATATAAGAAGGGCAAAAGATAACACCCCGCCAGACAAGGGTGTAATTCAGAAAATACTAGATTGTGATGGATAGATTGACATTAAAAATAAAGGATAAAGAAGACAGAATATTAGTTAACATGGAACAGGTTTTACAAGTGGCTAGAAATAAGAGGTGGAAATTAGATTAAGAAAGTGTTATGTAAGAATTAAATACAAAGAGGCCCGACAACATGACAACATGTTGATATAATTAATAGACCTATGAACAAGCTAATACAAAGAAATTCAGTTAAAACTATTTTGTTATACTATTATTATTATTGTTACTCGTATATATATTGATATCTCTATTTGTTTTTCCCTTGCTGCTTCATAAATAATATGCCCTGACAATACACTGTATTCAAAATGTTTATGAATAAAAATAAAACATATACTAAAAAAAAAAAGAAAAGCAAAAGAGATGATTCTATAAACTATTGACAATCAGTTAGCTAAGTCAGGTCAGCAAAATGTATGCTAAATATCTACAAGAAAAACTAATTGATTTGTTTGAATCTGAAGATATTTTGAGGGATGAGCAGGATGATCAGTATTAGGTCATGCCTTAGTGCTGCATTGCTTAGTAGAAAATATACCAACTTAGAACAATCTCTGCATGCAACTTTTATTGATTTCAGGTCAGTTACGATATTTCAAACTAAACTTCAGCATAATTTTTTTTAAAAACCACAATTAATACAAGTCTACTCCTGCTGCTCATTAAAATGCATGAAAATACAAGATTGGAAGAGAATATTTGTCCCTTAGGGCTGAACAGTGGAGTCCTTGGGATCTCTAAGCTTGGTTATTTCCTTGCAGACGTTTCATTACTAAACTAGGTAATGAAACATGATGTTACCTAGTTTGGTATAATGAAATGTCTGCAAGGAAACAACCAAGCTCAGAGACCACTGAGGACCCCATAGAATACCAAGGAAATATCCCTAAGGAAAGAGGTTAGACAGGAATGTGTATTGGCTTGTTTTATTCAACTACTATATGTTTCCATACTACCTACGGAAACAATTTCGTCCCATTACATCAGCCAGTCATGCAGGGAAGATATGCAGCTGATCCCATCAGTTAAAGAACTTTGACTGGTGGGGTCCAAGGAAAAGAACCTTCTCTGCCATTTCACTGACCTGTGGAATATTCTGTCCCCTGAGAACCTCTCTGAGGGAGTTCAAAAATGTGAAAAACATCATAAGTATTGTGTTCTTTACTTAAGTAACCCTATTTTTCATTCCCCCGCCCCCCATATTATTCAATTTATTATTGTATGCTGATGGTGCAATAGTTTTTACTTTTTCTAAACGCCCAAAACAGAGAAACTGGAACTTAGATGGGCATTCCATTGAGCAGGTTATGATTTTTAGATATCTAGAAATAGTTTTTTCAAACTCCAGGAAGCAGAAATGCCTGTCTGGACTATATGTATCCCACAGTGAACAGATATCTGTATCAGTTTACGAACTTATTATTTTCCCCTTATTAGGTTCATCTGTTGCAATTAAGTTGTTTTTATCTATAGTCCAAGCATGGGGCTATATGGGGCTCAAATAGGAGCCTGTAACAGCATGATCACTGCAGAAAGGATTCCAATAAAATTTCTAAGTATCTTCCAGGTTACCTGCTGTGTTCCAAATCAGTACTTCAGTGAGAAGCAGGAGTCAGTGAACTTGAATCTATTCTCTGATAAATATATTTATCTACTGGTTAAAACTACATCACAACCCTAGTGGATTGACCCGTGTAATATTGGCAGACAGATACAAACCTTCCTGGGAAACAACGGTCTCAAAGAAACTGAGCCCGCTATGGTTTCTTTGGTGATGCCATCTTAACCTTAGAGTCAGATCAAGTTAGACCCATACTAAGACAAAGGGTCTTAGATATAAAAGATCATGTAGAAATTGCTTTCTCTCATAATATAATTGCAAATGAACTAAGTTTAGTCCCTAAACCAGTCTCTTACTTACATCACCGTTCCTAAATTCAGGAGAGCTTTATCTTTGGTTTGATTTAATGCTCTCTCCACAATTGTCGTGGAAGGGAAATATAAGAAAACTCCACATGAAACCCAATATTGCCCTTGTGATATGAGTACCATAGAAAGAAGATTTTGTGTTCTTCTGTATTGCCATTAGAAGATTACCCCTTTTTATTTAAATTTCCAGGGCACTCAGATCATCTTTATTTGCAGTATCTATTAAACATTCAAAATAAATGTATTTCTATAAAAATAGCGAAGTTTTGCTACATTATGTGTAAATTTGGCCCACAAATAGTAATTCTTGTTACAAGATATTTGTGTTTTCATTTTCTTGAATATGTTTTTATTGGACAATGACCAAAATAAAGTTTCAGTTTGTCTGTCTGCAAATCCAGTGCACTGAAAATCCTCCAGGCTATTAGAAAGTGGATCCACTTTCTAATTTTATTATATTTCTGTATGAATTATCAACCATTCCTTTGAATTCATTAAACAAGCTTATTGCATGCAGGTGTTGCTCACTCTACTTTGTATTAATATAGCTTTTAATAATGAATGATTGAAAATTAAAAAAATGTTGTATAAACATACTTCTCTTTATAAAGTAATTAGGAAGTCTTCAACATTTATATTGTTATTATCACCTCCAAGACAGCCCATAATAATTATACTTATTAAAGTGCCTTTTTAGACATAAAATATTCAGTTTAATTGTTTAATTTGTACTTGTATATTTTCTTACAGAGGAATACTAAGTTTGGGTATATAATTGGAAAGTTATGTTTCTTTGCATTTATTATCGTTCATTATAGATGATACATTTGAAAATGTTATAGTACAAACAAGAAACAATTATCCATAATATTGAAATCTAAGATAAATCAAAGTACTAGGATTTGCATCATTATTAAAGCCAGATTTTTATAAAGAATAATTTCCATAGCACCCTATTTCTATAAAAAGGCATTTCTGAGAGTTGGCTTAACTGTTTTGGTTGCAAAACATTGCAAGTAATCTGAATTTTAGTTACTGAAGTTCCATTTGAAATTATACATGCAAGTTATTATGAACTATGTTTCAGAGGGAAAAGCCAACCTAGCAACTATTGCTTCAAAAGAACACATTTGCATCTTTTTCAGAGGAAATGTTTGGCACCCATTCTGCTCTGTGGTGGTCTCCAAGTGGCAGGTTTTTGGCGTTTGCAGAGATTAATGACACCGAAGTTCCTCTTATTGAGTATTCGTTTTATTCAGAAGATACACTGCAATATCCAAAGACCATTAAAATCCCATATCCTAAGGTCTGTGTTATTTATTAAACATAGTTGTTGAGTGGCTTGATTAAGAGAATAGTCACATTTAATCATTTGCTGCTAACAAAAATATTGTCTGTCTCTCCTCAACAGCTTGCTGTGATTACTGTGACTTAAGTCAATAGCATCTGGCAGCTCTGAAGTATTCTATTATCTCTAGGGAAACAGGAAATGAAAGCAATTGAAGGCTATGGAATATTTGAGTTTCTAAGATGATTTGTTGAAGAGCACTTGGGTGATCAATGGCAAAAGGAACACTTCAAATCAATGAGTTGCATAGCTAATAAGGGACTAAGAACTATTAGCTCTGTCATGAACAGGGAGGAGTGGGCTAAGTAATAGCTATTTCTCCTTTGGCAGACAGATTTCCAGGCTGATATATTTGCCAGGGCAGATGTCAATTGTTCCTTTTTTTTTTAATGGAACTATACTTGGTTTCAGTTTTTTCAAACTTTAGAAACTGGTATGCTCTCAATAGTTCCAAGGGCAGTGGTGGCTAATCTTTTTGGACTCCTGTGCAAAAAATTGTGTGCGCATTTGGACGCTCGCACTCACGTGCCAGCACCCAGAAAGCAATGTGTGTACCCCCAATGCCCTCTACACATGCACATGCAATCCCTACCCACCCACCCACTCACCGCCTCTGCCCCCTTACCTGCACTGCGCCTCACAGCTGATTTTTGGCCGGTTTGAGGCCTTTTTTGGCCTCCCAGAGGCTTGAGGGAGGCTTCTGCATGCTTCTGCAGGTTTTGCAGGCCAAAAAAATAGCCCCGTTTTGTCACTTCTGGTATTTTCAGAAAAAACAGGAAGTGCTGAAACAGGCTAGCTTTTGGCCTGCAGAGCCTGCAGAAGCCTTCTCAAGCCTTTGGGAGGCTGAAAAAGACCTCAAACTGCTCAAAAATCAGCTGTGAGGCGCGCGCATGTGCAGTGAGGTAAGTTTGCCTGCAGCTTGCATGATGGCACAAATGGCTCTGCGTGCCACCTGTGGCACGCGTGCCATAGGTTCACCATCACAGTTTTAGGGTCTTTGCAGAGGCTGTTTTCTCTGATCAGCTCCATAGACTGATCATGTGGCTGTAACATCCCATGGCTAGTCCAGGAAGTGATGGGGAAGAACTCTGAATGTAGAAAGTATGATATTGGCTTTAAATGTGCTAGAATTTTCAGGGGTTCGCCAAAGTGAGGATAAATGTCCCAGCTTGTCATGTATTTTAGAAAGTAAATGTAATTTCTTTTCTGGAGTAGAATGAATATGAGTGGGACTTAATTCCTGCTGCCATTCACCTTGGCATGGAGCTTCTGAAGTATGTCACCCATATTCATTTTCAGCAGAATCTTCTTAAAATCCCTAATGGGACATGAATCTGGACATATGTTGCTCTGTTTATTTCTCAGAATCATGTAACTGAAAATATTTGATATATCCTAAAGTTAGTTCTGGAAGTCAGAAAGGCAGTACAATTGTTACAGGGCAAAAGTAAATTAGGTTTTTATGCATATTTGCAATTGATTCAGCTTAGTCCTGATGAGATTGCTTCCATCATCAAGATTAAAGCTATGGTTTGTTTCAAGATGAAGCAGTTGTGGATCAAAGATCAAGAATAGTTCTGAGAGGAATTTTCATTGGATTGTAACGTGGGAGGAAGATGATTAATCATTCCCTTGATCAGTACTTCAATTAGATTTGGGGGCACAATGTACTTTTCAATAGAAAGTACAAACAGAGCTGTTGGTGTCCCCCTTTGTCATCGTCAGATCATGACCTAATTATTATGAGACTCTCTGGTGCCACTATCCACTGCAAGGAGTCTGAGCTCATTAGATTGGTCCATCCCCAGCAACTGAGGATTCTGGAGAAGCTTCATCTGAAGTCTTGGTTGTTGCTTGGAATAAGGGGGCAGCAGAGACCTTGGTTTGGATTGCATCCTTTGTATTTTACAGAGAAGTTGGGAGAAGAAACATCTAGAGGAGCAGACTCCAACCTTTTGGGCACCAGGGACCTGTTCCATGGAGAAAGGTTTTTCCTTTCCTGGAGGGGACATAGTTTTGTGTGCTGCCTGCATCATATGAATGTGGCTTCACTTGCTTGCATGGCCTGGTTGTTGACATGCTATGGACCAGTGGCAGTCCGTGGACTGGGGGTTGGGGACCCCTGGTCTAGAGTGCCATTAAATTCAATAAAGAAGGAACTTGACTGAATATGGGCTAGAGTCACTATTAAGGCCTATCTTGTGGCAGTAAGATGGCAAAGCAGCAATATTATCCCACCCTTATTGCAGATTGGCATCTGCAGCCCTATTTCATCCCGTTTACCTCCTGCATAAGCGGGTGCCAGGAACCTTTGGCAGGGATGTGTGAAGGAATTTGCTCAGCATTTTAGATTCACTTGCAGTTTGACAGTGGCCTTGTTTACAGGTCCAGAGCAGATGCCTAGGGTGAAATCTTGCCCAGGTATCTGGGAATGTTTTGTAGCTGTTGGAGTTGAGGAAGTAGACAGAGATGTGAGTTAAACCCCTTCTATTTAGATCTAAGCCACTTCCTGGGGTATGGCATGTGAGTGAATTCTAGTGGTGGTGAATCCTTCTTTGAGTGAGAGGTTTTTTTTTCCCCTTTACCTCTTAAGGAAGCTTTGTTCACCATCTCTTCAAGAACCCATCATTGGACCTCTTAATACTGGGAAATTTTTGCTCAATGTATTCTTTTTGAGGAGGGCAATTAAGAAGGTGGTTGTGCAGCATCTTCAAAGGACCATGGATGAAACAGATTGTCTGAATCCTTTTCAGTCAGGTTACATTACCTGGGTATGGAATAGATACATCACTGGTTCAATTTTTGCATCCTCTCTGACATGGGAGGATGGTGGCTCCTCCTTTGGGTGGTGCTTACATTGAGGATGTTCTCCCCACTGAAACTCTAGTGAACTTCCAAATGTCCCTCAAAACTTTGTTATGCCAGCATGCCTGGGGACCCCCAGGGACAGGTAAACCAGTAAGGTGGCTCCATTGATTAACATCCCTTGTATAAGAGCCTCAGTGGCACAGTGGTTAGCTTGCAGTACTGCAGGCTACTTCTGCTGAATATCGGCTGTCTGTAATTTGGCAGTTCACATCCCACCAGACTCAACATTGACTCAGCCTTCCATCCTTGCAAGGTGGGTAAAATGAGGACCTAGACTGTTGTGGGCAATATGCTCACTCTGTAAACTGCTTAGAGAGGGCTGTAAAGCAGTATATAAGTCTAAGTGCTATTGCTATTGTTATATTATTCTTTGTTTTAGCTCTGTTCCTATAGTTCTTAAAAATGGTTTTTAATGATTTAATATCAATAGTTTTAGATATTAGTGAGATGGACAGCAATATAAATTTAAATAAATAAATAAACGATATGCTCATTGTTGATTTTTTCAGAGATTAAAAATTATAAATTAATAATGGGCCAGGACTAATGTATGAAATTCTAATTTATTTTAAAAGATATGTTTAGTGTTTTTAGTCTTAATCTGAAAATAGAAAAATGTTTTCTGTAATAGAAATTTTTACTAAGTCAAGTGATGAGTTAACGTTACATTGATCTCTAAAAGAATAATTGTTCACAAAATGTGGGTGGTCATAATGTATACTGAATTGACTGTTTTTACCAACTTAGAAAAATTACATTATTTTTATAAGCATTGAACTAAGTCTTCAGTACTGGCTTTCAAATTTTTATCTATGAACCTCTATAAAACACACACACACACACACACACACACACACACACACACATATATTTATATTTTGTATTGAGCTTTAAAATCTAACTTCTTTGTAATTTTCTAATTAACATTGCCATTTGTACAGAATCTGATTTAAAATGTTTTAATTTTATCCAGGCAGGTGCTACAAATCCAACAATAAGACTATTTGTTGTGGATATTCTAGCCCTTCCTCAAAAAACTATATCGGAAATTGTTGCACCATCTAGTATAATATCAGGGTAAGTCCAAGTAATATGTTTTGTTACAGTGAGTGTTTTAGATTATTATTGTTATTATTTTACAATTATTGAGTAATATAAGATTTTAAAAAAACATTCATTTATTGCATTAAAAATCCTGTGGAGAGTTCATTTATTAATATGCGACCTTTTTTCCAATATGCACTCAGCTGGATCATTCATTCTTTTTATCATATTTATTAAAACTGCCCAACTCCAAGAAGATTCTGGGTGGCAAATAATAGGATATACACATAATCGTCCAAGCTAAAACACTGTAAAAAAATTTTTATATTGTAGTGACAAAACGTGGGTATGTGAAAAGAAATATACAAGTTGAATTACTTGAGAAGTGTGTTTGATGTTGTAAAATATAAAGGATATTACATGCAATGTCAGGGGTGTGCATAAGCGCACAATTGTGCCTGCCATCCCTGTCCTATTATCCCCAAATTATTCGTACCTATTTCATGTGTTTATACTTATGTTTCTTCTTATTTCTATTATACTGTTAGCATTTGACAAATAAATAAATGAAATAAAATTTTAAAAAAATCACATAAGCAAGGATGAGCCACATCAGCTTCCATATTTGAACACATTCTTCAAACACAGAGACACATATACAAATGCTAATATAAATATACACTCTTTAACTCATATACATACACACATAATACACACATGGACAGGAAGAGAGGGTGGACCCTTCTTATCTACTAGCTAGGTTGGAAGAAGTCAAAGAATTATTTGTAGGTAAATCTCAACTTTCCAAACCACACTTCTGACTTTTATATTCTGTGAATCATGGTATCAGTTTTGAGTTTATATCCTTTATTTTATCTTGTTCCACCTTGTGCTCCCCTGTTTCTAGTCATAGAATGCTTCCAAAATCTGTAGTTCCTTATTCTATAGAACTAAAATTTGAATTTTATATGTACAGGTAGTCCTCAAGTTATGACCACAATAAAGCCCAAAATTTGTGTTGCTAAGTGAGACATTGGTTAAGTAAGTTTTGTCCCATTTTCCAACCTTCCTTGCCACAGTTGTTAAATGAATCATTGCAGTGGTTAAGTTAATTAACATGGCTGTTAAATGAATCTGGCTTCCTCATTGGTTGTCAAAAGGCCACAAAAAGTGATCATGTGACCCTGGGACACTGCCATGGACATAAGTATGAAGCAGTTGCCAAGCGTCTGAATTCTGATCAGGTGACTATGGGGATGCTGCAACCGTCGTAAGTGTGAAAAATGATCATAAGTCACTTTTTTCAGTGCTGTTATAACTTCAGAAAGTCATTAAATGAACTGTTGTAAGTCGAGGACTACCTGTACAGTACCTGTTGTAAATATCGAATGGCATATAAATGATAAGCATTCAGGTATAGAATTCAAGTGAACCTATATAGAAAAATGCTGAGTAGCCCCCCTCTCTCTCTTTTAATCTCCAGGGATCACTACTTGAGTGTTGTAACATGGGTGACTGATGAAAGAATTTGTCTGCAGTGGCTTAGAAGGATTCAAAACTTTTCTATGCTCACCATCTGTGACTACTCTAGCAATGTGTGGCAGTGCCCAAAGGTACGAGTGGAGATGGATTTTAAGAGGTTGAAGGGTGAAGATTAGCTTGACAGTGCAAACAGACAATTGTAGCCTTCTTTTTGTTAGCGGTGGAGTAAATAATGGAACTGGTGGAAAGATGCTTCAGGAAACGTGACTTAGCAATGGGAGAGGCAGATTTGTGGAGTCCTGAACTTCATTGTTTTCTTGCAGATAGCAATAGCACTTAGACTTACATACCTTTTCAGTGCTTTTACAGCCCTGTCTAAGAGGTTTACAGAGTCAGCACATTGCCCTCAATAATATGGGTCCTCATTTTACCGACCTCAGAAGGATGGAAGTCTAAGTCAACTTTGAGCCTGGTGAGATTCGATCTGCCAAATTGCAAGCAGCCGGCAGTCCACAGAAGTAGCCTGCAGTACTGCATTCTAACCACTGTGCCACCAGGCTGTTAGATGTATCATTACCCAACTAGTTAACATCATCACTGTTACAACCTGATGATGCTACCTACTAATGAAATACCTGCAAGAAAAAAAAACCAAGCTCAGGAATTATCAAGAATCCCATGGTTCAACCCTGGATTACAAATATTCGCTTCTAGAGGCAGATGTCTACAGTAATCAGCAACTTAGGCTAGTTACCAGGTTTAGCCCTATCTGAACTATGAAGGCTTGGCAGCAGAGATTTTCACCCTTGTCCCCTAGAGTCTGTCAAATGCCCTGCATGGCCCTTTTTTTGAAAACAACTTGGAAATTGTGGTTGGTACAAAATGTAATGGCCAGGGTATTAGCAGGTAAGCACTGCTATAATCCTGGTTCTCTGGTTGCTTCATTGGATATAAATAGGTTTCTGAGTTGAATTCAGAATGCTTTAAAAACATATGTAGCTTGTTTCCTGTCTACATAAGGGACTGCCCCCTTCATATACGTAACAGCTCATGCATGCAAAACTAATGGGTCTATTTAAAATAGGGATTTTGTAGTGGTTGTCTTTTACAATTCTGTTTTTAAGATTTTAAGGTGACTGGGTTGCTAATATTCAACTGGGTAGGGTTTATGTACTTATATACATACTTTTGTTTGGGTATTGTAATTCCCTCGGTCTTGGGAGCAGGATAGTGAATCAATCAATCAATAAAATAGTCATCTATTTGCAGAAAATTCTGAAAATATTGCCATTCATCTTGAAAGAGAGAAGAGCTAGATTAGCAGACAGAGGTTACTAAAACAATGACGATCTTTCTCTTTTTCTTCAGAACAGGGAGCATCCTGAAGAAAGTAAAACTGGCTGGGTTGGCAGAGTAAGTACAGTGATTTAAGGATCGATTTACATCCTTTCCTGCAGAGAGAGGACAGCTGAAGAAATATCTTACAGAGAGGAAAGGGAGCATTTCATTGTACCTGCCAGCTGTTTTCTATCAGAAACATCTATACTCTTTCCTTCCTTGCCAGATTCCAGCCCCATATTAGTAAAATAAAAACAAGCTTGGAACAGTGTTAGAAATATTTCTTAGCATGTGTATATATGTGGGTTTCAGGGCAGGAAAAATAACTAGTTGAGTAGAATTAGAACTTCTATTTCTATGTTGCTTCTTAAAAGCACTTGGCCAACAAACAACCTGGCAATACTGTATGTTACTATTTTGTACTATTTTGTACTATTTTAATATACAGACACAAAGTTACCTCTTAATACCTGTTTTTTCCCCAAAATAAAACCTTGAGGACTTTTTTCAAGGTTATTTAGCATTGCAATTATAACTCCACCCCCTGATGTGTGAAATACACTGGCTTCTCAACTTTTTATTTAACCCTGTAACAAAGTCTTTATTATAGTCTTTGCTATTCTTTGTAGGTCATATAGAACCCACATCTCTCACACATTTCTGTTTGCAATCCCTAATTTTCTAAAAAGGATATAATGTCATTGCAGTCTTTTCTAATTCTGTTCAAGCAGTAGTCAAAGAACCAAAGATTGTCCAAGATGTCAAGTTATAGGACATTTTAATCAGTTGTTACAAGTGCACATGAAAAGATGAAACTGGATAGGAACTCAATTTTTTGTGAGATATCATATCAATTTATTTTTAAATTGCTAGGACTTCATGTTAATGAAATTAATGCAGATTATTATTTGCTGATATGGATATTCATCTTGACGTTGGCCATTTGTTCTTCTCTGATGGTATTCAGCATAGCAAACATTAATATTTCTGATTTCATATTTAAGATTATCTTTCGTTGGTTGGCATGTTTAGTTAAAAAGTAATACATTGCTTCAATATATTAAGTGGAACCTGGCATTTTCATATCTAATGCCTACAACTAGTAGTTGTTCACATTTTAGGGACATACAGGTATCCTCAGCTTACAAGCATTTGTTTAGTAACTGTTTGAAGTTACAATGGCACTAAAAAAACTTATGAAAATTTCCCACGCTTATAACCATTGCAACATCCCCATGGTCATGTGATCAAAATTTGGATGCTTGGCAGCTGGCATGTAATCACCTTTCTGACAAGCAAAGTCAACAGGGAAACCAAATTCACCCAACAACCATGTTACCAACTTAATAATACAGTGATTAACTGAACATCTGTGGCAAGACAAGTCATAAAATGGGACAAAACTTACTTAACAACTGTCTTGCTTAGCAACAAAAACTTTGGGTTCAATTGTAGGCTCCCCCATTGACTTCGCTGGTTGTAAACCATCTAGGAAAGTTACAGATGGTGACCTAATGTTATTGGGGCAGTGCCAGAGGTGGTACACAGCCAGTTCTGACCAGTTCTGGAGAACCGGTAGCGGATATTTTGAGTAGTTCATAGAACCGGCAAATGCCACCTCTGACTGACCTCACACCCACCTATTCTCTGCCTCCTGAGTCCCAATTGATTGGCTGGGTGTTCTTTGCCTTGCACAGGAGAATGGAGCTGGAAAGCAAGTTAGTGGAGTGGGAAGAGAATGGGGATTTTGCAGTATCCTTCCCCTGGAGTGGGGTGGAAATGGAGATTTTGCAGTATCCTTCCCCTGCCACACCCACCAAGCCATGCCCACCAAGCCATGCCATACCTATCAAGCCACACCATACCCACCAAACCATGTCCACAAAACTGGTAGTAAAAAATTTTGAATATCACCACTGGACAGTGCAACCATCATAAATACATGCCAGTTGCCAAGCACCTGAATTTTGGTCATGTGATCATGGAGATGCTGCAATGGTTGTAAGTTGGAAAACCAATCATAAGTGACTTATTTCAGTGCTATTGTAACTCTGGATGGTCACTAAACAAATGGTTGTAAATCAAGGTTGTAAAATGAATAGTTGGGAACAGGTTTATAGGAACAAGGAGTTGTACAATAACATCACTGAATCTATATGTAAGAATAATGCTTTTTTTCCTTTATCATTTGCTTAAAAAAGTCATGATTTTAAAAAAGCATCAAATATAGACCTACCCTGCAAAATAATGGAAGTTAGTATCTTCTGCTGTCAAACCTGATCAGAAAAGAAAGACCTTAATATAGCTAACACATTTTAGCTCTACATGATAAAATCTCAGGAAGCAACGTGATAAGCAGATTGTTTATGGTGTGTGAACAGTGAAGGCAAAAAGAAAGGAAAGAAAAAAAGGAGGAGTATAAAACTACTATAAAATAGGAAAAAATAGGTTAACATTATTATTGTCATACTTGTTCCACTATGGTTTATGTGCTCAAATAAGTCAGTTGCATCAAGAAAATACAAGCTATCTTATTACTCTATAAGACAGATTACCTGAAACATCCTTTGTTTTAAATGTCCCTAAAAATTTGATTGGGATAGAATCAAAAATGGGTAGAACCAGGAATAAAATAATTTGGATGGACATGAAGCTCTCTTCGTGTTGTTGAGCTACATCTCCAACTCCCATCAATACTAGCCAACTAGTGGAAATGGATGCTATAATGCTTATTCGTTACAAGAAAAAACTTTTTAAATTTTTTTTTAAAAAAATGTAAATTTTTTTAGAAAGACACAATTAAACTAAACAAAACATTTAAAAATGTTCATTAAAAAGACAAAAAGACAAATATGTATATTGTCCCCCCATTTGAATACTGATAGATGGATTGCAATAATAATAGTATGGCATTTTTGAAGAAAGACATTCCAATAGATTTTTTTTATTCAGTTGTAATTCATCTCTTTACCAAGTATTTAAGATTAAGTGTATATGACACTCTAAATATTGTTGTTGAATGCAATAAATAAGAACAAACTCAATTCCAAGAATGAACTATTGTTCCAACAGCTCCAATAAGATAACAGTGAGCAATTTGTTCACTGGTGATTTTATGAGGATGTTAATGGCTTTTTAAAGGTAATTGCTTGACATGTTTTGTGGAGTTATTCAAATGGATATTAGCGTTCTACTGTACTGAAATAAATTTGTTGTCTGTAGTAAATTATGAAGCGTGAAAAAGATGGGTTTTACTCAGTTGGAATATTTAATGAGATTAAATTCAAGTAATTTAAATTCAAGTAACTTCAAGTAAGATGGTAAGATGGTTGCAAAAATGTTCTCTGCATTTATCAACAAAATAGCTTTCCTCAGGCAAAATGTCTTCCAGAAAAAAATATGTCAATTCCTAAAAGTTTTCTAAAGACAAACTTAAAACTGCTGACATAGAGACACTTGAAGGTAACTTAGAATTGGCCCCCTGACTCAATTTTGTGAGCTAATCAATTTGAAGATTGCTGTGTGAGTGAATAAGCCATTCAAGCTATGTGATATAAATGTGTCAAGAGGATGACAAATACACAACCAGTTTCAACTGAGAAGTTTATTTACACCACTGGTAGAACAGGATGTCAATGATTGTGGTTAATGCTAATTTCCCCAATTCATACTTTATTGAGACAGTTTAAGTGCAGTCATAATCTTTTTTTAAAAAGAAAGCAGAAAGAGGTCTTCATCTCACCATATTAAATTGAAACCCTAACAATTGTTCTCTTGGTAAAGAATATCATGCACTAAATGAAATGAAAAATAAGAGAGACACTAGTTTAATATTGTTTCGAACAGCCCTGTAGCACTGCAGCCTGTACACCACTCTGAATGCCAAGGAATTTCTGAATTTTGATATTTTGATTAACAACTAGAATTACCTTAAGAAGTAGGGACTGTGTAAGGACAAAATAATAGGACTTCGTTTCAGAATTCAAGTTATTTCTTTGAAATAGGGAACTGTCCTCAATAGATACTGCATTAGAATTTAATTTATTTTGTCTTTGTGTATTAAGCCTTGTTTTCTTTTACTTCAATTTTTGTGGACATGTGGACATTTTGCGCAATATCAGATTGAGCTGAATTTTTTTTCTTTGTTAATTTCTTGGGAGCTGATGTGTAACTTGAAAATCTCCCCATTCCTGAGATAAAAATATATTTTTGAGTCATTTTTTAAAATACAATGTGATTTTGTTGTTTATTTATTTTTATTATTATTCAAATTTACTTATTTGTAAATATTCATTTGTAATTGAACTGTCTTTCAAAGGTGGGGAGAAACTAAATCCTAATCATGTTTTTGTACTTACAGAACAATTTTATGTGCATTATAGAATTGTTTTACTTTTACCTATCAGAAGGCTGTAAGACAATGGGAGCCTAGTCTTCAGAAATCATGGTTAGGGGAGTGACAGGTGAAGGACCTTGTGGCATTGATAACTGAGAGGCAAAAGACTTAGGGCAGGGTCTTTCTGGTGTTGTCTAGGGTAAACCAACAAAGGTTTCTGAGTGAGGAAGTTTGAAATCCTAAATCTTTCACATAGACTCATTTATGCCATTTCAAATATAATTTCATTTTTTTTGTAAATAGGTTTCTGTGAATTACAAATTCATTTCCTTGAGATTTGTTAATATACTATTTAGAAAATTTGACTTAAAACCTAACATTAATAAATATAATTAATGATTGACTGTACCAAAATCTAGCAACTTAACAACAGTAACGATTTAAAAATTAGAAAAAGTGATAATTTCTTTGCATAGTACAGTGTACTTTCTGCAGATATAAAAATATTGAACTAGGTTTTGTGCCAAAAAAGGCTGAAGATCATTGATCCAACTCTCCAAGATTTCTGTTGAATGTACGGAATTGCAGAATAGTATTAAATCAATGATATATTCAGTTTACAGAAGAGCGACTGGACAAGCCAGCCTTCTCAGCAGAGTAACATAAGTAAACATGCTCAGTATAAAACAGTTGAACTGAATCTTTTAGTTAAATTTCAGTGGTTGTAAACTTTCAGGTGTCAGAACTTGAAACACAAAATTGGGTAGAGCTAGAATGTTTGCATCTCTTTGCTTCCTTCAAACTATTTATTGTTTTGTAAATATTCAAAAGTCTGTATGTCAACAAATCATAAATTATAATTTCCTTTTTAATTACCTTCCATTTTTTATATTACAAAAACAACAAAAGAAAATAAAAAGTAAAGAAAAATGAATTGTCAAAGAGCCAAGTAATTGCAATTTGCTAATGTTTCATATTGTCCTGTAAAAACAGCCAATGCCACAGTAGAAACCCATTGCTTTGTTTCATTTATTTTGAAAACATTAGGAATAACTTGACCTTTGGAAAATAATTTGTTTTTTAATCCCTAAACAAAAATGTGATCATCTATGTATTTTTCTGAGAGGTTAAAATTAATAAACCTATGAAATAGAATACTTACTAATCATTACATCTATAAACATGTTATTGTTCTTTGTTGCAGTTTCAGCCATCAGAACCTTACTTTGCTTCTGATAAAATTAGCTACTACAAAATTATCAGTGATTCACAAGGATATAAACATATTCACTACACTGATAGCACAGGCGTAAGTAATGATTATTTGTGCATGTTTCTTTATGTTTGTGCAGGGTTGTTCATAAGGAGGAACAAAGAGAGCCAAATGATAACACCTGATGACATCATCAGTGATGTCATCATTCAGTGCCATGGCTTATGTACTTGCATAAGACATAATGGCAGCAATTTTGTGATAATGTCGGTACATACATATTAGTTTGGAGTTATCAGAGTTTGCTACAGACATTGTTTTGTGTATGTATGTGTAGCCTTATATTTATGGAGATTTATATTTTATCTAATCTTTATACTTAGAATGTTAAACCTATTACAAGTGGAAAATGGGAAGTAATCAGTATAGCTGCTGTAACAAATAACAGCCTGTAAGTATCCATTGATAACTTTTGAATATGTGTGTTCATGCAAATGCATAAATCATCCCTTTCTAGAAATAGCCTTTTCTGTTTGTTCTGGTTTTGTCTGTTGTATTAAAATTGAGACTGCATGAAAGCTTAGCATAAGAAATTTTGCATGGCAATGTTATGCTCCCTTGTCTTTACTATGTATGCTCCCTTGCCATACCGAGTGTGCTGACTTTCCTTTCCTTTCTTTTATGTCTTTTTGATAAGCCAAAATCTCATGATTTTTCAGATATAAATCTTCTATCCCAATCTTATTAAGGCAAGTTTCTTTTTACATCCCACTGAATTCTATGTGACAAATTAATCATACTAATTTAAGCTTTAAGATTTCGGCAAGACCCAAGTGCCACTAATTTTAGTTGAACTGGGAGCCTATCTGTCAAAATAATCCATGCTCAATGAGTAATATTCTACAATAGAAAGGCATTGAGGTACATTGTCTTCTATCCATGATTAGGAAAATATATTCTCTTTCCTCCATTGTCTGCTTTCCTTACATAGGACCCACTGTTAGTACTTTCTCTTTATTAGAATGCAATAAGAAAATGCAACACTGCATCATCAAATAAGTATAACAAATATATACAGAAGCACACATATAAAATGTAAATGTAATACAAAGCAAGAATAAGATGCAATGTAATATAAACATGCTACCTCCCCCCCACCCCCCCCAATTGCATACAAATCTAAACAAAGTCAACAACATATTGTAGCTGTGGTATTTAAGAAATAACTCCTGGAGTGTTTCATCAATTTGTTTCCCACAAGTTAGTCACCTATTATATTTTCTCTTAATGATACGTTCTACAGAAAGCACATTAAAATTTTTGAATACATTCCTTTGATTTAATATTTATTTATTATAGCTGCTAAATACCTAATATATTCTCTAAAAGTACTCCACAAGTTCAGTGGAAAAATGGAAATTCAGAATTACAGACCTATGCTGGCAGTTGTCTATTAAGTAATTGGTGCACTTGTTTCTCCTTTATTTAACACATTAGTATTGCTGCCCAATGATTCTTGAGTGGCTTACAAAATTTAAAACTCACCTTACAATAAACTTTCTCCTTTGCCTATTACTTTCTGTATAATGATATACTTTCCATTTTTTGTGGTGACATATGTCTTTTCCAGTTTAGAGAATAATGTAGAAATGAACTTTATTATTTAACCATTTAACCTTTTATAGCTACTTCTGTATTACTGTCCTAGGTGATTTTTATTACAATAATCTAAATGATTATCAAGTTCATGAATTAATCCATCAAAAACCCATTTGCTTATTTCACAGATACTTTATTAGTAATGAATTTGATGGTAGACCAGGAGGAAGACATCTTTATAAGTAAGATGCTTTTTTATTATGGTTCTGCTATAAAGAGCATACATAGCATATATCTTTATTTATTTTTCACATTTTTGAATTGCCTTCTTCCAGTTTGCTCTAATGGTTAAAATGCTAGCTTAGGAACCAGGAGACTGAGTTTTAGCCCCAGCTTATGCATGACTTTGGGACAGTCAGTCTCTTTCATGGTTATTGTTGGCGGGGGTGGGGAATAAGAGGAATATTAGGTTTGTTTGCTGCCTTGAGTTACCGTAGTTATTAAACAATAATAAATATGGGATAAAAATCAAATAAATAGTACCCTAATGGAAGGATGATAATGCTGATATAAAAATTGTAAATTCAAAATTAAATTTCTTTATTTATTTTGTCAAGCAATTATAAGATAACAGGTATAAGTATAAACATAGTTATGGATATATGAAATGGATACATATAAGAAAAATAAAAAAGAAACAATAGGACAGGGACGGTAGGCACGTTGATGCGCTTATGCACACCCCCTACAGACCTCTTAGGAAAGGGTGAGGTCTATAGTAGACAATCTAAGGTTAAAGTTTTGGGGGTTTGGGGAAGAAACCACAGAGTCAGATAGTGTATTCCAGACACTGACCCCTCTGTTGCTGAAGTCGTATTTTCTGCAATCAATTTTGGTGTGGTTTACCTTGAGTTTGTACCTATTGTGTGCTCTTGTATTGTTATGGTTAAAGCTGAAGTATTCATTGACTGGTAGGACATTGCAATGTATGATTTTATATACTATACTTAGATTGGACCGAAGGCGGCATAGTTCTAGGTTTTCTAGCTCTAGAATTTCAAGTCTGGTGGCATAAGGTATTCTGCAACGAGTAGAGGAGTGGAGAACTCTTCTTGTGAAATATTTCTGGACTTTCTCAACTGTGTTAATATAAGATACCTAATGCGGGTTCCAGACTGATGAGCTGTATTCAAGTATTGGTCTAGCAAATGTTTTGTAAGCTCTAGTTAGTTGTGTGATATTACCAGAGAAAAAGCTACGTAGGATTAGGTTAACATCTCTTAATGCCTTCTTGACTATGTAGTTGCAGTGGGCTCTAGCACTTGGATCATTAGAGATGGGAACTCCAAGGTCCTTGACAGAGTTTGGATCATCAACAAGGTCTTGACTATTCAGTTTGTATTTTATTTTCTGATTTTTTTGGCCAATATGTAAGACAGAGCATTTATTTGTTGAGATTTGAAGTTGCCATTTGTTTGACCATTCTGATACATAGTTGAGGTCTTTTTGAAGGGTAGTAGTACTGATGGGTGAAACAAGTATGCTGCTGGTAGAGTAAATTGGACACAACTTGAATTGAATTATTTAGATGAGAGAAACTAATAGTGCATTTATGGAATGATGAATCCATGGGATGGTATTGATTGACAATATTTAGCACTAAAACACTGGAGCTCTTGCTTTACTGCAGGTAAAGTAGACAACTGAAGAAAAAAAGAAGAGAAATCTGAATTAAGTAATTACATGAAGGCAACTGTTCAAATTAGTTTGCAAAGAAAACACCCTCAGAGTAACAGAGGCAAAAATTGTGTATAAAGGTGAATTGTTGGAAAACTGTTTAGAAAACTGAAGATGTAAACCATGACATTGTCAGCATATAAAACAAAACATGAAGCATTGGTGCACACAAATATAAATTATTCTGGCAATCATAAGGATGCAAAGAAAAAAAAACCCTAAGGAAAGGTCCTGTTGAAATCAAACATTTTTGTAGTGGTGTGCCTTTATGATGTGCAATAGAATACACATTTCTTCTACTTTTCTCTTTCCCTCATTTTTACAGAGTGGACTTAAAACATGACTTGAAAAAAAAATGTATCACTTGTGATCCAAATGAGGAAGCATGTCAGTATTTCTCTGTATCCTTCAGCACAGATGCAAGATATTATAAACTAAATTGTTACGGCAAGTATTACAGATCCCCCCCCCCCCCCATCCTTACAGAAATGCAACTCAATCTTTAAGATCCTCATATTTACATGATGCTTCTCCAATCCATGATTCAAAGAATTATTGTTGTTTGGATGGTTTATAAGCACAAACTTTTTCAGGTATTTCAGAGGATACCTGGGTCACAGCCATTTGGCTTTTTTTAAAAAAATTGCATTTTTATTCCTGCTTTTCCTTTAAGAAGTCAAGACAGATGATGCTGTTAAAACATATTAACCTCAGAGGAACAATTTTGTGAGAGAAATTGGGCTGAGAGAAAGGGATTGATCCAAAGTCACCCTGTGAGTTTCAAGGTCAAGGGAAGGTTTGAAGCCAGGTCTCCCTTCTTCTAGTTATCACTGGAAGCATTATGAGAACTAAAGGATGGGCTGCAATTATGCTCTTATACACTGATGTAAAAGTTTCCACTGGTTTAAAAATGAGGAGTATCACAGTGCATCATGAAAGATAAATTTATTTTTAAAGACCTACTAGAAAAACTACTTTTCTTCCATTCCACTTTGGTTGCTTATCTGGCCACATGAACCAGAACAGGAGCAGTTGGTTTGACTGCTGTTGAATGACAGTATAAAACTCTTGAACCTGATCATCTGGGCAGAATTTATCTCCTTAAAAGAAGCCAGTATGCCTGAATATTTACCACTAAAGAAGTAAAATGATATTGACCATCCCCATATATTTTGTAGGACTATTGTTTGTGGAGAGAGGAAAGCTGGGACCAGTTCTTTGAACTGTGTATGTGTGTGGGGGGGAGGGGAGGAATAATACTGGAATGAGTTAGGCCAATGCTACTCTAGCACTAGGCCAATGCTACTCTACCCACTATGCTCAGTGTGGAAGATCCCTGGAGGGAAAGCTATACTGAGAATATGGTGGCTCCTTTGCCTCAGCAATAAGCAGCCGAGAGCAGCTACAAATGTTTCAGGAGGAGTACAATCCTGTTCCTGATACTTTAGTGGAGATGACTTTCCACCCACATACTATTAGGAGACATGTTCCTCTCCTAACCACATTTCTTGAAATGTCCTGCCTCTGTTGCCTCTCACATTTCCCAGAGCATCCATTCTCTTCCCCCTGAACAGCTGCAGAGGGCAAGGAGCCCCTGACAACTGCTCACCTCTCCTTCCTTCTCCTCTTAGTGCTGTGAGGACTTTTAAAGGCAGCAGGGAGTCCCCCTTGTTTCCTGATGTGATGACAGAGAGGATCCATAAGCAGCCAATCAAGATTGGCAAGTTGCTCGATCACTGGAGGGTTTTTTTTTAAAAAAAAATGATTGAACATTTTCATTTGTCTGAAATGGTATAGTGTGATTCCTACTTGAGCAGGAAGTTGAACTAGAAAACCTCTAATAACTACACTGTACTTTGGACATCCATACAACAGATGTGAAGAAGAAAATGAATTTTAGGCTGGTCAGAACAGAAAGACAAAAAACCCTTCCCTCCAATTTCCAATTAATTGACTGATATGAAAATTGGTATTAAATTGTTGAAGAAAAAGCATTTTTGTTGACAGAATTGTGTGTTGTCAAACATGAAAAAAAGATATACAAGTGACCAGCTTATTCCAAAATCATAAAATTAGTATGACAAGTGGTATTAATTGATTCAATTGAATGTAGTTTTTATTTACAGTGTTCATTTATTTTAAATATATTTATGGATTACATGTGGCACCTGATTAAATAGTCTTTCCACTAAATCCAAAGCTGCAAAGAAAGGAAACGCAGAATAAAAAATAAGAACATCTCAGTCAAAACACATTGACGAAGAAACAATAGCAATAACTGGAATAAAATAAAATTCAGTGAAAAGTTAGCTTAATTAATTGGATTTTTTAACACTCTGCGAATAACAGGTCCTGGCCTGCCCTACTTCACCTTGCAAAACAGCGAAACAGACAAAGGTATTTTTTTAATTTTTTCCCCCTGATTAGAACAATGTGAATGCATGTCTACTCTGGGATATTTATGATTTAGAGTTTGTAACATTTTGTCCATACATATCTTGCAGTAAGATCAATTATACATAATTAGCTTTATTTCTGGTATGAGTGCAAGAGATTACATTTTGGTGATGTAATTCAGTGCCCTCCCCCAGTTGGGTGCAGTACATGTGATGGACTTCAGTTCCCATCACACCTGAAACCAATTCAAATTGCTGTTTGGCTGTTAACAATGGGACTGCTAGCCTAACATGTCTGCAGGGCACCAATTTAAGAAAGCTTGATTTTATTTGTGTAACGCACACTATTTAGAAGTAGATCCCTGAGGTAGAATGAGATTCATTACTAAGAAGCTGTAACCTTTGTGTTAAAGGCATCAACCTAATATGTCATTATCATTTATATAACTTGATGGGAAAAAAATGATAAGAGTTCATGTGTGTGTGTTACTGTGTATGTGCACGCATACTTGCAAGATCAAATTTCCAATAATAGCTGGCAAAAGGGTACAGACCTAGGACAAGAGTCTGTGATTTTTTTTTCTAAAAAAAGTCCCTTCTGTGTGTAGCAACTCTGACAAGCTGAGATTGTTGCCAGCTGAGCTCATATTTTTGAGCTGGTGCTACTTAGATCTTGAATGTTACAGCATTGTTGAGAAACACTCCAGTTGGTATGAAAAGAAATATATTTGTGGAAAAGAATCTGGATTGTTCTTTCTGTTGATTTATGTGTGTGTGTTTTGCTTTTCTTTTTCCTTCCCTGCTTGTAATTAATGTTTGAAATCAGAGGCAATTTTTTTTCATCACTCATCTCCTACGCATGTTTGCTAGGAAGTAAGTCCCACTTCCAGATAGGAGGCACAATAGCTTAGCAGTTAAAGATGACAGCCTGGGTTCGAGATCTGAGTGCCACACAGTGGGGATAAGCTCCTGTTACTTGTCCCAGTTCCTGATCACCTAATAATTCAAAGCAAGCAAGTACAAATAGATAAGTAGGTGCACTACTTCGGTGGGAAGGTAATGGCATATAGTCATGCTGGCCACATGACCATGGCTCCCTCAGTTAAAAAAAGATGAGTGCCATTCCCTAGGTAATTGATTTTTAAAACCAGCTCTCCATGTTGTTTTAATTCTTTCACTTATCAAATATATCTGTTTTAATCCTAGCTATTAAGACCCTAGAAAATAATGATAATTTGAAAAATGTATTGAAAGAAATTCAGATGCCCAGCAAAAGACTGAGAAATATTACTCTGCATGGACAAAGTAAGTTTGCAAACAAAATGTAGTTTTGTAACAAAATGAAGCAAATCATTTTTTAAAAAACTGAATGAAGCAGTATATTTGCAGTTTTTTGAAATCATAATTTTGAATGACACAAATGTTTTGCAGCTCATAATTATTATTTAATTATTATCAGCCATGCCTTAGAAAAACAATTTCTCCTATGATTCATAACAGGAAAGGAGCCATTAGGCTTAAAAATGTCTAATATGAGACTTTGTAGACGAAGACCAAGCAGCTTGCTCAGACAGCATTGCTGAATCCAGGGTTAACTTTTTCTTGATACCTCCATGAATTCCTGCTTTCATTTGGAGGCTATAAACTGTTTCAGGTGTGCTGATTCAGGGTATATGATTTCTGCAACCTGAGTGTGATTCTGATTATTGTCATGCTGATACCTGTCAGTTTCAGCTTGCACTTTGGACTGGGAAGGTCTGTACTGCCAGCAGCACACAAGAGTAATGATTGCTCCGAAACATTTGTCTTAATTCAGAAGAGGGGAGAGTGAGGCAACTGAACATTGTGCTTACAAAGTTGCTTCATTCACCCATCTCCAAATCTCCCTCCCTCCCTTTTTAATATATCCTAAAATATTTCATTTTTCTAGGAGAGGGGTGGGTTTTATTTTCCAACAATTTCCCCCCCACACACTTTTTTTTTTTTACAAATAACTCAAGACAGTGAACATATCCAACACATTCTCCTGTTCTTATTTTCCCCACAATAACAAGGATCCTCTTATTGTGAGGGGAGTAAAGGTGAGAGAGAGTGACTGGCCTAGAGTTACCCAGCTGGCTAAGGTGGGACATTCTAGCCTCATGCCTTAACCATTAAACTCTTTCCTTCCTTCCTTCCTTCCTTCCTTCCTTCCTTCCTTCCTTCCTTC